TTTCAAAATTCGCTACAAAATTAATTTCTTGAAGGATCCTTGTGGAAATATCACCAATTATTAATTAAAGTATCCTCTTTTTAATGCAACCAGCCGTTTTGAAAAATCACTTTTAATTCTTGAGAAAAAATTTTTTGAAATAATCGAAAATTTTTTCGAATTTTGCAATTTTTGTCGATTAAATTTTAAAAATTCGTATAAAATCCAATTCTTGGAATATGAGTTTGAAAATTTCCCAAAATGTTAATAAAAGTGTCCTCTTTTCAATAAACCAACCCGTTTTTAAAAATAACTTTTAGTTTTTGAGAAAACAATATTTGAAGTTTTGATAAAATTTTCGATGTTGCAATTTTCATCGATAACTTTCAAAATTCGCTACAAAATTAATTTCTTGAAGGATCCTCGTGGAAATATCAACAATTATTAATTAAAGTATCCTCTTTTTAATGCAAAAAGCCGTTTTGAAAAATCAATTTTAGTTCTTGAGAAAAAAATTTTTGAAATAATCGATAATTTCTTCGAATTTTGCAATTTTCGCCGATTAAGTTTTAAAAATTTGTATAAAATCCATTTCTTGGAATATGAGTATTAAAATTTCCCATAGTGTTAATAAAGGTGTCCTCTTTCCAATGAATCAACCCGTTTTTAAAAATAACTTTTAGTTTTTGAGAAAACAATATTAATTTGATAAAATTTTCGATGTTGCAATTTTCATCGATAATTTTCAAAATTCGCTATAAAATTAATTTCTTGAAGGATCCTTGTGGAAATATCACCAATTATTAATTAAAGTATGCTCTTTTTAATGCAACAAGCCGTTTTGAAAAATCAGTTCTTGAGAAATAAATTTTTGAAATGATCGAATATATTATTTTTTATTTTACAGGATTTAGTTGTAACTTCCGATGTGATACTAGTTGATACAGAATCAAACGATTTTATAACAAACCCCAGAAAAATTTTAATGTACTTAGTTGATAGATCGAGAATAAATCACCCAGCTTATCCGAACGACGAATCAGTAAAAGCAAAAATACAAGAAATTCTCGATTTGGATGAACAATTTTTAAAACCACCGTTAAATTGCATATTGGTAAGCTAAATTAAATAATTTTTTTACTTCATTAACTTCAATACAAAAATTAATTAATCATTTATTTCAGCATGCAGTTTTAGTTTCGAATCTTATAGAACTCTCAAACAAAGTCATCGTTTCACTACAAGAATCGTATAATTGCTTGGAACGAAGATTACAAGATAGTCAATATCTTACAGGGGACTCTTTAACGATTGCGGATCTTTCTTGTTTAGCAACTGTTAGTACTGCGACTGTTTTTACCCCAATTTGTTCGGCTAGACATCCGAAATTGTTTCAATGGTTCTCGACTTGTAAGAAATTACCGTATTATAAAGAAGCGAATAGTAACGGACTTGCAAAATTGGATTTGTTAGTCGAAGATGTTTTAGGTAGAAGAATTTGAATACATGAGCCCATATTTATTGTGATCTAACCCCTTATACACATATTTAATATTTATTAGATTAAAAAGAAAACGTTTATTGTAACATGTTTTTATTTGTCAATATTGTGTGATAACGAATTGCTATTTGATCGAATTACTATTTACTTAAACAAGTGATTTCCAAAAGAATTTATACTGTTAAATAGTAATAATAAAGCTTTGTTTCTTTTAAACTTTTATAAAAACAATGTTGTTGATACACTTTAATTCCCAATATTCATCGTTATATTTTTAGAAGCTTTTAAAACCTTTTCCTGCATTAATTTTCCAAGTTGATTTAAACCCTCTTGGTTCGCAAGTTCGTAATAGGGTAAATCTTGACTTCGCTCTAAATACCTCATCAATTTTGGTGTGGTTTTTGATGATACAGGAAATATGTAATCTAAAGTACTCAGCGAAGACATGCAACTAAAATCGGCTACGGTTAATTTATCTCCAGCTATCCATTCGTTCTGAGTTAAAAACTTTTCGGCAAACGCATAAATTTGTTTGACGGCTATCAATTGATGTTGATTCAAATTTCTCATTTGCTTGAATAATATTGAAACGACCGAGTTGTATATGCAAGGATACATTAATCCGCTATCAAAATGCAATCGTTGATTAATGATTGCTCTTTGATACGGATCCGCTGGGTATAAAGAATAATCCGGGGCATATTTTTGTACTAAGTAAATGTTGATAGCGTGGCTATCCCAAATTATTGAGTCCCCATCAACTAAAGTCGGCACCGTGTGTTGAGGATTTATCTACACATAAAAAAAAGGTTACTTTATATTAAAGTTATACAACAAATAAATAAAAACCTTTGGTAATTGCGTTTGCAAGTACTTTCTGGTCAAAATGTCCACGTCTTCGTATTGAACGTTAAGGTGTAGCGCGTTTAGCGCCAATTTGACAGCCCTACAAGGTGGACTAATCGCACAGAAAAATAGTTTTAAAACCATAACTAGTTAGCTCCCAAATAAGACTTTAAATTTTGATTTATCTTGAATATTAATTTTTTCTTTTAATTAATTGACACTTTTTATTTCACATTGACATTTATATGCAAACAAATACATATCAACAATTTATGTGACATGGCGTATTTCAGTGTATTAAACCGAGGTCACTTGCGGCCGAGGCGATACATTGTTTGACACCAGTCTTGTTTTGGTCATATTAACACAAGATTGATATAGATTGATGCTGATATACCCAATATCGCTGTATTAAGCCAAGGTCACTTGCGACCGAGGCTGTATATTGTTTGACACCAGTCTTGTGTTGATATGGTATTAAATGTAGCGCCTCGCCTGCATGCGACCTCGGCTTAATACAATAACAACGTGTATTTCAGCGTACTAAGCCGAGGCACAGAATATTATAGCGAGTTGCCAAGGTATGCTGTTATTGGTGCTAAAGTTTCGGAATACCGCTAGTATCACTTCTGGTTATATGGTCTCAAAGCACAATAGGTCTCAAAACAAGGTCTCTTAACCTCAATAACTGTAGAGTTGATTTAAAAAAATCGTATCTCCGAGATTTATAGGAATGAAGAAATTATTTTTGGTATGTTGAATCTAGATTAAATTTGCTATAAAATGGTGTTTATTTCATGATGATATATCAATTCGTTCTTGAGATATGATCTTTTTGAGTTGCATTTTTATCAACTTAACCTCAATAACTACAGAGTTGATTTAAAAAAATTATATCTCCACGATATATAGGAATAAAGGAATCATTTTTATTGTGTTAAATCTAAATTAAATTTACTGTAGAATGGTGTTTAAATCATCTTTATATCTAAATTCGTTCTTGAGATATGATTCTTTTGATTACATTTTTATCAACTTAACCTCAATTACTGCAGAGTTGATTTAAAAAAATCGTATCTCCGAGATTTATAGGAATGAAGACATTATTTTTGGTATGTTGAATCTAGATCAAATTTACTATAAAATGGTGTTTATTTCATGATGATATCTCAATTCGTTCTTGAGATATGATCTTTTTGAGTTACATTTTTATAAACTTAACCTCAATAACTGCAGAGTTGATTTAAAAAAAACATATCTCCGAGATTTATAGGAATGAAGAAATTATTTTTGGTATTCTGCATCTAGATTAAATTTACTATAAAATGGTGTTTATTTCATGATGATATCTCAATTCGTTCTTGAGATATGATCTTTTTGACTTGCATTTTTATCAACTTAACCTCAATAACTGTAGAGTTGATTTAAAAAAATCGTATCTCCGAGATTTATAGGAATAAAGGAATCATTTTTGATGTGTTGAATCTAGATTAAATTTACTATAAAATGGTGTTTAAATCATCTTGGTACCTAAATTCGTTCTTGAGATATGATTTTTTTGATTACATTTTTATCAACTTAACCTCAATAACTGCAGAGTTGATTTAAAAAAATCGTATCTCCGAGATTTATAGGAATGAAGAAATTATTTTTGGTATGTTGAATCTAGATTAAATTTACTATAAAATGGTTTTTATTTCATGATGATATCTCAATTCGTTCTTTAGATATGATCTTTTTGAGTTGTATTTTTATCAACTTAACCTCAATAACTGTAGAGTTGATTTAAAAAAATCGTATCTCCGAGATTTATAAGAATGAAGAAATTATTTTTGGTATGTTGAATTTAGATTAAATTTACTATAAAATGGTGTTTATTTCATGATGATATCTGAATTCGTTCTTGAGATATGATCTTTTTGAATTGCATTTTTATCAACTTAACCTCAATAACTGCAGAGTAGATTTAAAAAAATCGTATCTCCGAGATTTATAGGAATGAAGAAATGATTTTTGGTTTGCTGAATCTAGATTAAATTTACTATAAAATGGTGTTTATTTCATGATGATATCTCAATGCGTTCTTGAGATATGATCTTTTTGAGTTGCATTTTTATTAAGTTAACCTCAATAACTGCAGAGTTGATTTAAAAAAATCGTATCTCCGAGATTTATAGGAAAGAAAAAATTGTTTTTGGTATATTGAATCTAGATTAAATTTACTATAAAATGGTTTTTATTTCATGATGGTATCTCAATTCGTTCTTGAGATGTGATCTTTTTGAGTTGCATTTTTATCAACTTAACCTCAATAACTGAAGAGTTGATTTAAAAAAATTGTATTTATATCTCCGAGATTTATAAGAATGAAGAAATTATTTTTGGTATGTTGAATCTAGATTAAATTTACTATAAAATGGTGTTTATTTCATGATGATATCTGAATTCGTTCTTGAGATACGATCTTTTTGAGTTGCATTTTTATCAACTTAACCTCAATAACTGCAGAGTTGATTTAAAAAAATCGTATCTCCGAGATTTATAGGAATGAAGAAATTATTTTTGGTATGTTGAATCTAGATTAAATTTACTATAAAATGGTGTTTAAATCATCTTGATACCTAAATTCGTTCTTGAGATATGATTCTTTTGATTACATTTTTATCAACTTAACCTCAATAACTGCAGAGTTGATTTAAAAAAATCGTATCTCCGAGATTTATAGGAATGAAGAAATTATTTTTGGTGTGTTGAATCTAGATTAAATTTACTATAGAATGGTGTTTAAATCATCTTGATACCTAAATTCGTTCTTGAGATATGATTCTTTTGATTACATTTTTATTGACTTAACCTCAATAACTGCAGAGTTGATTTAAAAAAATCGTATCTCCGAGATTTATAGGAACGAAGAAATTATTTTTGGTGTGTTGAATCTAGATTAAATTTACTATAGAATGGTGTTTAAATCATCTTGATACCTAAATTCGTTCTTGAGATATGATTCTTTTGATTACATTTTTATTGACTTAACCTCAATAACTGCAGAGTTGATTTAAAAAAATCGTATCTCCGAGATTTATAGGAATGAAGAAATTATTTTTGGTATCTTCAATCTAGATTAAATTTACTATAAAATGGTGTTTATTTCATGATGATATCTCAATTCGTTCTTGAGATATGATTTTTTTGAGTTGCATTTTTATCAAATTAACCTCAATTACTGCAGAGTTGATTTAAAAAGATCGTATCTCCGAGATTTATAGGAACGAAGAAATTATTTTTGGTGTGTTGAATCTAGATTAAATTTACTATAGAATGGTGTTTAAATCATCTTGATACCTAAATTCGTTCTTGAGATATGATTCTTTTGATTACATTTTTATTGACTTAACCTCAATAACTGCAGAGTTGATTTAAAAAAATCGTATCTCCGAGATTTATAGGAATGAAGAAATTATTTTTGGTATGTTGAATCTAGATTAAATTTACTATAAAATGGTGTTTATTTCATGATGATATCTCAATTCGTTCTTGAGATATGATCTTTTTGAGTTGCATTTTTATCAACTTAACCTCAATAACTGCAGAGTTGATTTAAAAAAATCGTATCTCCGAGATTTATAGGAATGAAGAAATGATTTTTGGTTTGCTGAATCTAGATTAAATTTACTACAAAATGGTGTTTAAATCATCTCGGTACCTAAATTCGTTCTTGAGATATGATCTTTTTGAGTTGCATTTTTATCAACTTAACCTCAATAACTGCAGAGTAGATTTAAAAAAATCGTATGTCGGAGATTTATAGGAATGAAGAAATTATTTTTGGGATGTTGAATCTAGATTAAATTTACTATAAAATGGTGTTTATTTCATGATGATATCTCAATTCGTTCTTGAGATATGATCTTTGTGAGTTGCATTTTTATCAACTTAACCTCAATAATTGCAGAGTTAATTTAAAAAAATCGTATCTCCGAGATTTATAAGAATGAAGAAATTATTTTTGGTATGTTGAATCTAGATTAAATTTGCTATAAAATGGTGGTTATTTCATGATGATATCTCAATTAGTTCTTGAGATATGATTTTTTTGAGTTGCATTTTTATCAACTCAACCTCAATAACTGCAGAGTTAATTTAAAAAAATCGTATCTCCGAGATTTTTAGGAATAAAAGAATTATTTTTGGTGTGTTGAATCTAGATTAAATTTACTATAGAATGGTGTTTAAATCATCTTGATACCTAAATTCGTTCTTGAGATATGATTCTTTTGATTACATTTTTATCAACTTAGCTTCATTAACTGCAGAGTTAATTTAAAAAAATTTTAGCTCCGAGATTTATAGGAATGAAGAAATTATTTTTGGTATGTTGAATCTAGATTAAATTTACTATAAAATGGTGTTTATTTCATGATGATATCTCAATTCGTTCTTGAGATATGATCTTTTTGAGTTACATTTTTATAAACTTAACCTCAATAACTGCAGAGTTGATTTAAAAAAATCATATCTCCGAGATTTATAGGAATAAAGGAAACATTTTTGGTGTGTTGAATGTAGATTACATTTACTATAGAATGGTGTTTAAATCATCCTGATACCTAAATTCGTTCTTGAGATATGATTCTTTTGATTACATTTTTATCAACTTAACCTCAATAAATGCAGAGTTGATTTAAAAAAATCGTATCTCCGAGATTTATAGGAATAAAGGAATTATTTTTGGTATGTTGAATCTAGATTAAATTTACTATAAAACGGTGTTTATTTCATGATGATATCTCAATTCGTTCTTGAGATATGATTTTTTTGAGTTGCATTTTTATCAAATTAACCTCAATTACTGCAGAGTTGATTTAAAAAAATCATATCTCCGAGATTTATAGGAACCAAGAAATTATTTTTGGTATGCTGAATCTAGATTAAATTTACTATAAAATGGTGTTTAAATCATCTTGGTACCTAAATTCGTTCTTGAGATATGATTCTTTTGATTACATTTTTATCAACTTAACCTCAATAACTGCAGAGTTGATTTAAAAAAATCGTATCTCCGAGATTTATAGGAATGAAGAAATTATTTTTGGTGTGTTGAATCTAGATTAAATTTACTATAGAATGGTGTTTAAATCATCTTGATACCTAAATTCGTTCTTGAGATATGATTCTTTTGATTACATTTTTATCAACTTAACCTCAATAACTGCAGAGTTGATTTAAAAAAATCGTATCTCCGAGATT